TTCTCTAGAATACGCTTCTGGCTATATTCGTAGGAAGTGCAAAGGAATTTCACACCATTTTCTACATTGGTTTCAATATGGTAATAATTCTCTTGAATATCCTTAAAGCTAAAAAAAAAGTGTTCTTCCGGAACAAAGTGAGTATAAAGCTTCCCCTTATGATAAAATTAGTACCCTTGGACAATATAGGGCAGTGCCATGCCCCAAAATCAGGTTGGATAAGCCTGAAGGGGTTGTCAAAAGGTGATTAGGTATGAATTTAGTATAGAACCATACAACTAACTTCCCACAAAACATACCTAAGCATGAGTTAATTGTATTAGTCACATGTGGTAATTTTCGGTAATTAACTCTTATTCGAGAATAATAGTGACATCCAAACACCAATCTTATATTCGTAAAATAAATTGTTACAAAGTAAACCAAATATACTAGGGGGTTTGGCCAATAGGCCTTTCATGTCAAATTTTTCTATTTCAAATGTGTTAGGTGAAGCAAAATTAGTCTCACGGATTGACTACGGGGATGGTACTCAACAATATTGGTAGGGGCACATACAAGTGTAGAACAAATGATTTATTTCGTCAAAACAGAATTAGATTCTTCATGATTGAGGTTCGGGAATACTATCGCTTATTCTTGAAGTTTTAGGTTTTTACCAAGGATCATGTTGCGGGCATGATACCACATCTTGGCAGGCCCTAATTCTATCATATGTTATAAAACAAACTCGAAATTAGATTGTGAAGGAGAGACAGACCCAAACTTGGGTTTAGTAAGTTCCAGCCAAAACTGGAGGGGGTTTGTTCGGTAAGCCTCTGCCAAAGTAGAGCAATACCGTTTAGTGCACCTCTGCCAAAGTAGAGCATGCCCTTTGGTGCATCTCTGCAGAAGCAGAGCATGCATGTTGGTGCATCCCCACCGAATGGACCGAAGCAGGGCACCACCATTCGGTAGACTCCAGTCGAAAATGGGTTTAACCGTTCTGTACCTCCCAGCTGAATTACTAGGGTCCTTTTTCTCACAAGTGTGGTAGTAATCAGATCCAAGAATCTGATAAACTTTCGCTCTCTATACTGCTACTTCATGAGCAATTTAGATATAAAAGGAAAGATTTTCTTTCAGTCAAAATTTGATCGGATATAAACTTCAGAATTATATCTTTTCATGGACGTAAAAGGTTTCAATCATGTCTTTCTTCGGGCAAGAATTCATCTTTGAATGATTTGAAACGGTCCATAAGAGCGAGTCAAAGAGCCATGGAGTCCTTGGTAGTGAGGTACTTCCATTTGATATACTTCAAGCATTAGTCTTCAACTGAAGATCATGGCGGAGGCGTATTCAGCTCTTCCACACCATAACTGCAGGCTCGGCCTAGGCCCAGTGCCACCAGGGCAACTGTCCAGGGCCCAAGATTAAGAAGGGCACCAAAGTTAAAAATCCACACAACTAGGTATATAAAATAAAAAAATAAAATAAAAATTATCTAGAGCCCAAATTGAACGGCCCGGTTTTTCTACACATAACCCATTTCTTAAGTTGAACAGCCTAAGTTTTAGGTCTTAAAAAGAATAAAAAAAATAAAAGCATAAGAGGGACCGCTTGTCCCTAATTAACCCTAAGTTCCTAACATAACCTCCTTTTTCCTGATTCCCCACCTCCCTTTGTTCCCACTTCCCCACTGCCCTGCCTGCCGTCTCTGTCCTTTTCTTCCATCCATTGGCTGCAAGTGCAGCAATTTCTCTCAAAACTCACTCACTGCAAGCTATGCGTTGCAGCTTCCAAGTTGGCAAGCCAACATGACCTTCTCATTCAGTGCATTCACCAACCCTTTTAAGTTTTGAGGTAAACTAATTTTTAAAATTTGAATTATTAATTCATAATTTAATATAAAATTTCGCAAGTGGCATAGAATTATATGATAATTGATGTATAGAATTGTTGTTAACTTGTTGTTGATGAATTGAATTCTTGATTAATTGAATTATTTCATTTCATTTCAAACCCAATTTTTAGGTTCAATTTTATCAAATTTTCTAATATGTTAGACTATGTGTTAGTGTATTTATAATATATAATAGATGTTAGGGTTTTTATAATATATAATATGTGTTGGAATGATAATTTTGATAGAAAATTTTTGTTATATCATGTGTAGGTAATTTTTACAAACAAATTTTTGAAGCCATTTTTTTTAAGGAAACAACTCTTTGGTAATATGAAAAGGGAAAGAAAAAAAAAGGCAAAGTATAATGAAATTACGGAAAGTTTAAGAGCTTAATAATTTTCTACAAAGAATGAGTCAGTTGAAAATTTGAGAGAAACTAATGTTGGTGAAGAGTCACAATATGTTGTTGGGGAGTCTCATGATCATGAAATTGGTGGTTATGTGGAGAAAGATGTTAATGACGAGTCTCATGACCATGAAAATGGTGGTGATGTGGATTTAATTGTTGATAATGATCATATTGGTGTAGAGGAAAATATTGAATCTCCTAAACCTATTTTCCATTTAAACATTTATGATCCAAGAGTTTGGGATAGTCTTAATGCAGGAATGAGAGCCTTACTTGTAGAAAATAGACCAATTCAAGAAACTAATATCACCTTTCCTAAGGACAATTCGAGAAACTAATATCACCTATCCTAAGGACAAACTCTCTAGAAAATTTTCTTCACACTACCATGATTGAAAATTACGAATGGGACGTGAGGGCCTAGCCCTCCAGCTTTGATTGGGTTCCAGTCCTTGTTAAACAATTTTTTTTTAACATATGTTTCCGTATTAAAAAAGGGCACACTTTAAGCTTTTGCACTGGGCACCCAAAAACTTAGGATCGGCCCTGCATAATTGGTTACAATGATTTCGCAACTAGTCATAGTCAAGTAGGGTGTTAAGTCTTGTATCCATATAAAGTAGTTTTTTTTCGAAACTTCCAAATCAGTGAAATCGAACTTGTTATGGTTTGACAATACGTTGAATGGCGGAAACAAGAATACGATTGGTGTTTTAGGAAATAAAATTTCCATAAACTTCAAAGATAGAACATTCAGGTTCTAAGACATGGTTTATTTGAAACAGATTTAAGCATGGAGAACTTCGAGTCTTAACATGAGTGTTGCGCGATAAGAAACTTCAGGTTTCTATGACACTTTTTTGAAACTTCGGGTTCGGAAATATGAAATTCAGGTTCATAAAACTTGCAAACAAACGCAATATATACAAGACATAATATATAAAAAGAAAACAAATATATTAATAGTTGGTAGCTTTAGGACATTTTGTGTGAAAGTTTAGGGAAACAATCCTAAAAAGGGTATAGAGCTTCAAGTCCAAAAATTATTATTTTAATCAACTTGGTGGCGGGTCAGCGAGAAAAAAAAATTGAGTTAACAGAACTCAGGTCAAAATACGGGCTAAGAGAGAAAAAGTAAAAAACAACTCCTATTAAATGAGACAGTTTTTCATGGGCTAAAGTAAATAGACCCAAAAGAAAACTTTTTTTTTTTTTTTCTCACACGAATTGGACTGAAAGTCCAACTGGAAAAATAAAAAAAAGGCTGAAAGCCCAAAAAAATAAAAGAATGAGCTCAAAGCCCGGAATAGGCTGATAGGCTGGCTACTGATACAGCTGGTAACAAAACGGGTCACGAGGTCCTAACCCCAACACTGGGCCGTTTGCTGGGTGTAGTCCGAGAGAAGTACAGGCCCAAGGCCTCTGAGGCGTGAGATCCGAGCCCATCTGCGATGGGTGCGGATGCGGGCGCAGTCCCGTCGAGGTGCAGGGGGTTAGGGGAAGAAGACGTCATAAACAATGTCGTTCCGTGCGATGGGGCCAGGAGCTGCTTGGCCCAACAGGGCTTGGCGACTTGGCACAACCGTGGGCTTCAAGCCATGGTGTAGACACAGGTCCAGCCCGAACTCAGTGCTCAAGCACTGGGCTTCCATAAATTAGGCCCAAATCTGAAACATAAATATCCATGTTTCCAAGCCCTAGTCGAGTTCTAGGGTTTTCTTCTTTCTTTTTCTTGCTTATTCACACATATTCAATTCACATAATGGCAATATCATGGATATAATGCATAAACAATTTATGTAGAATCTAAAATTCATAAATCCTAAAGTTGGGTCATGCATTATGGCGAAGGTTCATGCAATCAAGATTGAAAAAATATCGAGATAAACAACGTTGTTTTAGAAGAACCTAGATTGTGTGATAAATATTGTGAACGGGTTTGTAGGAGTTTCAATTTCGACTTTCCATCTTCAAAGCTTGGATCACGTTCAACACAAGAAAAATAAATTGAATCAATAAAAGCATATGAATTCCATAAAATCAAAATTTAATCAATTAAAAATAATTGAAACATAATACTCTCCTAATTGAAGACGAATAAATTCTCTTTAGCGCAGCTTGAGGAGCGTGTTGATAACATGTTATGGTCTATATTTAACTGAGGAATGCGGCATGGTGAGAAAGAAAGTGGAGAATAGACTTGAGGAATTGTGTGTTAATTCCCCCAATCCTTGTGCATAAGGAGAGAAACTTACTCTCTAAAGATCTTTTAGATCCCAAAAGATTCCTAATCTATCTCTACTTAAGATTTACATAAGGACAATATGTACTAGAACATGTCACAACATCTTATAATTTTTTAACATAGATTGACTGAAATGTCTTAATTGACTAACAAAAATAAACACAAGGACTAAATTAGCCAAATCGAAAATACGAAAACTAAATTGACCATATGACTATAATACAAGGACTATTTTGGCATTTAAGCCTAACAATATCCACCACTGTATCCAAAGTCCCAAGTTGAATTCTCCAGTTGCTCAATATCTTGCTTGCATCACAAAAAAAAAAAAATTAAAAAAAAAAGAAAAAAGATAAGACGTCCAGGAGATTTGAACCTAAAAAAGAGACCACTAAAGTAGATGATCATTAGAATGATAACGCACTAACGAGTTTTACAACTGCCGGAAATCATAATCGTGGAACAATTTGTCCAATGAAATTTTAATGAAATAAAAGACTGGAAGTTAAGGCATGGTGAAAAAAATAAGTACAAGTCATGCCAAGAATAGTAGTCAAAGGTATCACTTCTTGTACGAGAACTAGGGTTCCACAAGCAACTAGCAAGAGAAATTATGTCTATTATGTACAAGGTCATTTACGACCCGAAAAGGAGAAAAGAAAAATAAAAAAAGTGTCTTCACGCATTAACTACCAAATCTATCAAACATGTTGCTCCCTGTGGAGAACGCTTTACTGATCTACTCATCTATATCTGACTCAGTGTCTTGACTCTCTTTCGCAGGGCCTTCGATCGCACGATTTGATTGCCTTTGCCCTGGGACGATGCCCCTAACTGCTCCATAAAGAAAGTATATGTAGGTTACAAGCTACCACATATTTTATGTTAGGAGTCAATTGATTGTATCGATGTTTAACCCTAACCTAACTCAACCGTGTTTTTTCATCTAAAAATCATAGAAAAGAGTCACTAATATCTAGTCTTGAGATAGCGGCAAACTACAAATAGATTCCATTCATACCTGAAGCCACAACCTTCATGAAAAGTGCCTTTGCAAACTGTAATTCTCCTTGGTGTGAACTGATGAATTTAGTCTGCAAATTAAGAATCTATCAGACCTCAATAATGCGCAACTCATACAAGGCTTGGAAGTTGTCAAAAGTAGAGTCATCATATTATTGTATAACTGAGATCTCAATGGTTATGGAGTGGCATCATAATCTCAATAGTTATGGAGTGGCATCATAATGCCGAGAACAATTTGACAATAAATCAGTGTTTTCAGGAAAATACAATCAAACATGGTTAACACAACAATTCTTCCATAAGAACGTCAAAGATCCATGATGAGTAATTACCATTTGGCCATAAATAAAGTCCACAGCTTGATCAAGTCGGACTTGATGTCTCTGAAAGAATGGGCGCAGATGGTTCATGTACAAATGCCTTGCTCCCTGTTACACAACAAGCTGTTAGCCAAGCTATTTAAGAGCTTAAAGTGTGCTATTTGTAGTATTTCTGGTCAGCCTTCACAAGATAAGAATAACTGAACATATGCAATGAACTTTGCCTTCACCTTCTGAAATTGTTTTTCCTTTTGGAAAAAAAATTGAAAAAACAACTGGTATCTAATTAAAAAAAACATCGAGTTCATCAGAAAAGTAAATAATGTAAGTTTTCTCAAACTAAATCTGACAATACTATCAGACAAGAATGCAAACTTGCACTAGAAACCAACTGCAATTTGGCCATGCTTACATTTGAGGCTGGAAGTTGTAACCAAACAAGAAATGCAAACTTCATATGGTAGTAGAGCGGAAACCTAATGAAGTGTGGATAAAAACCATCATTAGATTTGAATAATACATTCAGGAAAGCAGTCAAACAACTTTTTAAACTTGATATTACCACTTGCTAATTAGCAGCAGTTTTCACATTGTTAAACGCATTTACAAATCCAGAAATATGAAAACAAATGCAACAATGAACTATGCTTGTTTCCACGATACAATTGAATAGAGGAAGGAGAGGGAGAAGAGAAGGGATAATAAGTTAAAAATAAAAGGTAGGCAATCTCATTTCCATTTCAAATTAAGGTCTGTCAAAAGAGTTATGACACCGCCTAATTAATAGAAGACAATGAAAATCAACTTAAATATTATTTCCTATTTTCATAACCTTTTTCATATCAAATTACCAATGAAATCCTAAAAGTACCTACTTCAAATACTTAGAACCAGGGAAAATCTAACCACCATGCATGTGAATAGAATATATATACAGAGACAGATCTATGTTAAAACTTTTCAGCAAATAAATTATATTCATATATATGCAGATCCAATATCATGTTATATAGAAAAACTTTACCAGGAGAGAATTTTGTCTGAAAATACTTCTGCAACACTGAAAGATCCATAAGCTGCAAGTAGCAAGAAAAAATCACCATTAAAAAAATGAATAAACCAAACCCTGGAGAATGTAAATAAACTGTGAACTACTACACTGGATGGCCGCCAGCAGCTACAACTGGGAAAGACCCAAATACCTAAACAAGAAGCTTGCAGATCAGACCATTTTAACATATACACACATAAATAAAACCCTCTCTAGTCGTCCTGTATCTCCATGCCAACCTAGTACCTTAAGTTTCCCAAAGTTAGGTATCTAAAGGCACTGAACATGGAATGTAGCGTTCTTCAGCATATCATTTACTTGCTTTGTACCCTTTTATATCGTCCAGATAACAACTAGTAAGAAGGTCACCCAACTGTTTTGTTTCCCCCAAAATTTCTTTTCGAAGGCTTTCTTAGGTTAAGAGAGTAAACCATTTTCCTGGAAATTCTTTGCATTTGCAATACTGATCTCATAAAAGGTATAACTAAAATCAGACCTACACACAATTCATCGAAAACCCATTAACAATTTGTAACATAAAATCGTACCTTCAGTCAATTCATCGAGAACCGATCAACAATTCATTAGTGAGTGTCTAATTTCTCAAGCATATGCAAACAACGATAAAGTAGTACACAAAAAAATGACAGATAATGTATTTGGATTCTGGAAGAATATAAAATTGGTGAAATCGATTTCGAACCTGCCCAATAAAGAAGCATTCTTTGTTGCTCCTCTTGATCCTTCTTCTCAATAGCTTTAAACGTCGAGTAAACTGGTAAAGCAATCCCCACAGAGCAGCTGCACAAAAACGACCCATTACAGAAACAGTGAAAAAAAAAAAAACATAAACCCTAAAACCTAGAAACTAATTAAGATAGAAAAAAGCCCCCAAAAGAGAAGTTTACTTACCAAGCGGTCCGGACAAGGACGTTGGAACCGAAGGGATAAAGCAGTACCCGCAATCCGACCTAGACGAACCAGCCACGATTTTAGATTTTAAACGTTGAAGGAAAGATCAAATACGCAGAAGACAGAGAGAGAGATCGCTCACCTCACTTGGCAGAGCCATGTTTACAGTGAAATACGAGATATTTGGAATAAAGAGACCCAAAAAGACTTTTGCCTGGGAAGTGACTTAGCATGGAAGACCACCCTTTAACCTGAAAATTTTAAGTTTTAACTTAAAAATTATTAGAGAATGAAATTATCCTTTTTAAAGTAATTTTTTTAAAACAAAAATTATGTAGACTTTCCTTATTTAATTTTATCAACATTTTAACTTAAAAATATCTAGATTCTGAATAAATATTAAAAAAATCACCAAACTGATACCATAAAACTCATGAAACACTATGAAAGAATATGAAAAACATGAAGAAAAAAAAATTTATAATTATTTTTGCCTTTGGATTTAAATTTGGACCATTAATTTTTTATTTTTTTTACCATTGGATTTGATGATATTATATCTTAACCATTAAATTCAATGAATTTATAAATATAAAACTTACAAAAAAAAAAAAACATATATGGTGGGCCAACCCACTAACCCAGGGGGAATTTTGAGTTAAATTTGATCAAAAAATAAGTTCTGTGTTAAAACTCATATTTGATCCAAGGGTTGGAGTAAGTTGGGGTAGTTTTAGACTCTAAATTTTGAGTTTCACTCTAAAGGTTGTAGTAGGTCTAAGCCTCAGCATCTCGAATGGAGATGTCAATAAAAACATGTCAAATATAAAATTGAAGGTTTATGAGGCAATTTCAAATTTTCTTTTGCTCCAATTCATAACCGCTCTTCAAAACAAATAAATAAAAACTAATTTTCAGCCACTTAGGACTACAATTTAGTAATATTTCTTTTCATTTGTAAGTGAGAGGTCTTAGGTTCGATTCTCACTAAAGGAAAATTTAAATCATATTATTGCTATCTCATTGTGAGACTTAGCACACTCTTCCACCCCCCTTAGTGTAGATAATATCGTTTATTAAAAAAAAAAAACTAATTGTCATAATTTATCTTTGGTACTTTACAAGGACCCACACAAGAAAATGTTTAAAAATTAGTTTGACACCAGATTTTCTCATATGTCAAAATATGGCATCACACAACAGGTATGTCAAATCCACATAGGATTGGTATATCGGTTGTAATTTATATCTGCCTTCAAATATTATTACATGACATTCCACTTAGGATTTGACATCCCTTTTGGAGATGGTCTAAGTCACTTTATGCTTTTGACACATTGTTTTATAATACGGTCACGAAGACTATGCAAAAAATATAAGGTACCAGAGAGTCTCACATTTAAGAAACTCTTCTTGGCATTTCTCTTGCTAATTTTTGCTTTCTTTAACATGTAAAAAGACTAAAAATAACTTTGAGGTTTCAATTCTCTCTCCTCCGTAGAAAAACCAACCCAAAGAACTACATTCCTCCTTTTTATCCAAAGTAATGCTAGTTAGATCAATTTTTAAAATCACCACTATAAATTATATAATGTATCACTATTAAGAAATAAGCATGTTATCAATCCCTATTAAACCACTAGTGCCACATTAAAGCTTTAGAGAAGTACATAGAGCTTCATTGCCGCCATCTCCAACTATTTCCAATTCTCTCTCTCACTCACTCGCTCTAGTCCAAATACAACTAACTTCATCTAGACCTGGCATTTTGAACTCGACCCGTTAATATTAGTATTTAGATGGATGCTTAACGGGTTAGGTCACTAACAGATGAACCCGTTAACAACCTGTTAAATTACGGATCACTTTGGGTCAACCCATTAGACCCGTTAGCATCCATTAGTTGATGATGTTTTAGTAATTTCAGTTAAGTCTTAACAACAAAAAATAAACTCTATGCAATAATAATAATAATTGTTAACAGGTCGAGTTCGGGTGACCCGTTAACTTAACGGGTCGGGTTGAACCCGTCCCAAACCCAATAAACCCGACCCGTTTACAGGTCTAACTTCATCGCCATCTTCAATTTTTATATTTTTCTTTTGTTGAATCCAACATTGGTTGTAGTAAAAGATAAGTAATGGGTTAAATATTCTAACCGCATTTTGATTAATACCAAGACCTTTTGTAATAAAATCCTACACATGATAGATTGTGCAGGTGGTAATTACCAAGTTGGGGACAATATCGGTGTTGTTGGAGGTGAGCCTTCAACCCGTTTCTCTGATAATTCTACATGGTATCAGAGCCTGGGAGTGGGCTCGTTCGTACTGCCAGTGATGGTGGGTCCCTTGGCCTCGCGTGTAGGGTGAGTCCCCTTGGCTCCATGTGGTTGCTGATGTGTGAATCTCTCACGTGTGACCCACTAATTGGATCTCATGTGAGGGGGCATGTTAAATCCCACATTAGTTGTAGTAAAAGATAAGTAATAGTTTAAATATCTTAAGCCACTCTAACACACACCGATTGCCTTTTGTGATAAAACCTCACACGTGATGGATTGTGTAAGTGGTAATTACCAAATTGGGAATAATATCAGTATTTTTGGAAGTGGGCATTCGGCCCGTCTCTCTAATAATTGTACATCTTTTTCTCCACCAAATGACTCTGTCCTTCTTCGAAAAACGCTTGAGAAGACTTGGGTAGGTGCAAGAAAATCTCAACGTGTTCTCGACTGGATATGGTCGAGAAAAGCTCGAGACGATGCGAAGAAAGAATACAAAGCCTTAAGGGTGCTATCTTGTTAGCAGAAGTGTTGCTGTCGACCTCCTCCAAGTGACAAATCACTCATGTACCACCTACTACATGATTCTTCTTGGCGACATAACTCATTATACGAGAGTGTTGGAACTCTCTGTCAGTTTAACGTTGTCTTTGACAAGCCTTGAATAGGCTTTCATGCTCTCTTAAATGAGTTGGTCATTGTTAGGCGTGCCACTGTTGATCAAGACTAACAGATTGATTAGTTGTTTGTTTCAAGTTGCTGTATTGCGCCACAAGTAATTCAACTTCATTATCATAAGGATTGTGCCATAGAACGGTTAAATATGTTAAGTTCTTTTCTATGCCTGGTGACAAGAACTTTGTATTTTCTTTATGTTGATACCAAGGGAGAACTACAAATATTGATCGAACTATAGTCAGTTGGCAATTCTCATGTAAATGTAAAGACAGAAAACAAGACACATTAGCTTGGAAAACAAAGTATTCACATTGATGAAACGTAAAGGCATGTTAAATGTTTAAAAGGTAAATAACTTGAAGATAAATAATAAATACAAGCAAATGAGCACGATTTAAACCTATTCGGGCAAAGCCAGTTGGGCAACTTCTTGCAAGTACAAGATGTATTTGGGAAAGAAAATTTAGTAAAAATAAATCGATGTTGCGAAGAAAGTAGCAAAGCTATAAATGTAATGAGGAAGTAGGCTGCAAAGATTTGAAATTTTTTGTATGTTGAGTTGAGTATCATTTTCTTCTTCATTTTTATTGCCTTTTATAGAACTGCCTCTTTCTTCCAGAGTAAGCCTTTCTCCCTTCAGTTCATACTCCTTGATCCAAGTGGCTAATGTGATTGCTATCAGAGGGTGAGTTTTCACTTGCATACTCGAGCTTTTATCCCGTTGAAACTATGAACTTGCAACTGGAAATTACTTTTTTCTTTGTGAAACTCGACTAAGCAATATTCCTTTGGTGTGAAAGAGAGTTTTTGCCACCCACAATTGCCACGTCATAAAGCACTTTTAAATTTTGGATCGTGCACTGTTAATCTTCTGCATAAATTAAATACCCATTAAACTTCATACATAAGTCAGAATGTTGGGCCTTGAACAGGCCCAACAGTCTATTTTTAGTCCAAATTAGTCTCAGTTTGATATTAGTGGTGGTTTGATGTTCTACAGAATTAAGCTAAATTTATGTTCTGCGTTTTTCGTTTTCTGCATTTTTCGTTTTCCTGAAAGATGTCAACCTATGATTGACTTTCAGAGCATATTTCCAACAAATCTGAGGTCAAGGAGAACTGCACTGACTTCTTGTGGAGGCACAGTAATGCGGCAATACAGACAAAGTTTGAGGACAACGGCAACAGCGATGTGGTGCCAGAAGTTCTGTTTTGGGGGCTGAGGAATCCAGCAACGTTGGTGTCTTCAACAAAACAAGGGGGCAAATTGTTGGGTGGCTTCAGCTGCAATTTGTTTAAGTTATTCTTGGAACATGGCGCAGATCTTCTCCCGAACGACGCCATGAAAGCAGCCATCGCGGTTTAGGAGTATCAGAGTTTGGTTGTAGTGAACTGAAGAGATGGGAGCTAGCTATCATCTTTAAATGCATCAGTATTTACAATTACTATTTGTGAAAGAAATGATGTCCCCCTGGTCTTGACAACTCTGATGTAACGTCGTAGCAGAAACAAAGATTGACAAGGTTTCTCGACTGAAAATTTCCATCTGATTGACAACAATTTAACCGATTCAACTTGTCAATTCACAATTCCACGGTTTTACAGAATAAATTATTTACTTGTATCGTCCAAAGTGTTACCTCTTTACTTTCTTGAATCAACGGGGAAGGCGGATTGGAACTTTACAGTTGGAAAATAAACAACATTGATATTCTCATGAGCAGAAGACCATGCCTACAAAGAGAACAAGTAAACAACACAAGAAAGCATTACCTGCTCCTTCCAATCAGTTGTGAATGCCCCCAGCTTCTACAGAAGGAAGATAGCTTGTCAGTGTCTCCTTAGAGTGTGAACGGGGTTATTCCCACGACGCCATTGTAAATTTTTCTGCCGCATTGGATTTTTCCATGTTATAGAATTGCTCTCAGTTAACACTCTTCAAGCATTTCCACCAAGATGAAGGAACAATAATACCATTGTCACTCCATTGCCGAATTCAATTCATATGCACAAATTGGCATCCGCTAATGGTACTCTGGAGTCTCTACCCAGGCACTTGACCAATAAATGCATTATTCTGCAGAAAACACATAAGATGAAACATGTATAAACAGAATCAAGAAGTAGTAGTGAAAGATCCAAAACATTTGTATTCTCTTTTGCATGTAAGCATTGCACTTCAAATGAAAAAGTGTTGTTCGTTTCAGATATCAATTATTTGCCACTTACACTGGTTATATGGTAACGCAGCCCCAAGGACTGGTCTAAGTAGCACACGAGTCATTGTGGGGAATGGAATTAAGTAGATTGATTGTCTCAGGCCAAGAGAAAAAAAGAGTGTGTTCTTTGTCATAAATGTCATAAATATGCTCGAATACAGAGTGTACTTCTTTTACAAAAGAAGATATAACTAATAACTATAGGGTAAACGATATCCAAATGTGTATGCGCCTACCTCCTGAAAATGAATGAATGCGGACGGCATGGAAATACCAGTCCTATATCTGATTTAGTGACTGAATGTTCTGAGCATCATAATTAGTTGTGTTGAGACGACGACATTCAAATTATGATCCCAGCGGAGGCTCGAGATATCTGATACAGTTCTTCAGTCAATAAGGCTAAGGTACAATTTATAGCCTCTGCTCTTGGGTGGGCTTTATCACCAGAGATAAATATATGAACACCATTTTCCACATATAACCAACTGCAACCAGCGGTCTTCTTGGCCTCCTTCCCTTTCATCTTCTTCCTTATTCTGCAAACTTCATCCCAATCTCCTTCTGCTGCATAGAAATTAACCAACTGTACATACCGATCACCAATGTCTCCTTCAAGTTTTAATAGTCTCTCCTCTGCCTCTCTAGCAAGTACGGCATTCCCGTTTACCCTACAAGCATTCATGAATGCCCCCCATAAAATGGTGTCTGATTCTATAGGGATCTTTCTCATGAATGCTATTGCCTTATCAAGTTGATTAGCCCTCCCGTACAAATCAATCATGCAAGCATAGTGCTCAATTTCGGGTAAAACATTATACACTTTTTCCATCAAGTAGAAGAACTGCTCACCCAATTCCACCAAGCAAGAGTGTCGACAAGCTGATAGCAGCGCTAAAAAGGTGATTGCATCAGGTCCCATACCTTTCTCCAACATTTCATTGAAAATCTGGATAGCTTTATTTTCATGCCCATGGTGAGCATAACCAGCTAACATCACATTGTACAGGATTATATCTCTGTCAAAATCACTTTTAAAAAGTTTTTCTGCGTAGGTAATACTCCCGGATTTTGAGTACATATCAACCAAAGCACTAAAAAGCTTCTTATCGATTTCAATCCCGTTCCTTAGAATGTAAGCATGGATCTGCTTCCCAGGATCCAGGGCTGCTTGTATTGAACAGGCACCAAGCACACTGATGAGAATCCCAGCATCAGGAACTATTGATTCCTTTGCCGTGAACTCACCTAAAAGTTCAAATATAGCTTCGCATTTCTGGTATTTGAGATACCCAGAAAACAAAGCTGTCCAAACAACAGCGTTCTTTTCAGTCAATGAATCAAAAAGTTTTCGTGCTTCTGTTAGGTTACCATGAGAAGCATGACCAGTAATCATTGAGCTTACCGAAAAGGAATTTTCGGACCCCATTGCTACATGAACTGACTTTGCATAACACATATTACCACACTTGGAGTAGACATCAACAATGCCACTGACTATATACGGATTTGATGTCATCCCATTCTTCAAGACCCAAGCATGGATTTCCTTTCCAAGTTTGGAGCTCTTCAAACCCGAGCAAGCACTCAAAGCACTAGCAAAAGTGTGGTCATTCCATCTGAATCCATTATCTGCCACACAGACAAACAATTTCAGTGCCTCTTGCTTAAAACCATGCTGCACATACCCTGCAATCAGTGTATTCCAAGACACAGCATCATTCAGCTCCGGCTCTGTCCAAAACAGATCATCTGCCATTTCTAATTTGCCTTCTCTACAACAAGCCGCCACCATTGCATTCTTCGAAACCAAATCAACCACCCCTCTATATCTACTAAACACCCGCCGCGCTTCTTGAAAACACCCACATTTACTATACATATCGATAAGCGAGCTCACTGCGAACCCACTTAAATCATTAGCAGTTTTCACCATAAAACAATGCAACTGTCTCCCATAATACCCATTTTCCAACTTGGCAGTCAAGTTCAGCATAGTCGTGAGACCAATCTCGTCAATCCGAATCCGATCATCCCGTGACTTCATTTCGCCAAACAGCTCAAGCGCACAATCCTCATACCCGTCGGCGCTTACATAACCAGACAACATGGAATTATACGTGACCAAATCCTTGTAAGAGGCAGCGTCAAATAACTGGCGTGCCCGGTTCAAGTTGCGTGCCTTGATGTGGGCGGAGATTATGGCATTCCAAGAGAAGACGTTTCGTTGGGGCATTTCGTCGAACAGTTTCTGGGCTTCTCGAATAAGGCCATGCTTAGAGTACAAGTGAATGAGTTGATTGGAGGTGAAAATGGTTAGCTCAAAACTGGCTTTTATGGCTTGGACGTGATATGCAAGACCTTCTTTTAGAAACTGCATTTATATATTTATAATTTTATATACGACTTCCTTATCTCTCTCTCTCTCTCTCTGCTTCTGCTTTCAGAGATCCCTCTGTATACAAACGTCCTTAACAAAAAAAAAACAAGAAAATTTTATTTGAACCCATTTATCTTTTTCTACATCTAACTTGCTTTCTTTATTCATATTGTTTTTTTTATTAAAAAATTAATGTTTCTTTAAATTCAAATTTATTCCCTAAACTACCATCTCAAACGAGGGATGAGCAAAATAAGTTAACGCGTAAGGAGTTGTTGCCGTGGCTGATTGGGGTGAAGTTCGGTAGGCTCATAACGCTTCATTTAGCTTTAAATGCCACATCCCAGGTCTCTCTCTTACCATTTTTTCAAGAATGCCGATCAATACTTTATTGCTTGCTTCGGCCTGCCTATTCGCTTGTGGGTAGTACGGCGTAGATTGTTCAAGTCGAATACTCAGATTCACCGTGTATTCCTTAAACCTATCGGCTGTGAAGATTGTGTGATGCGAGATTTATACGCACACAAATTAAACCCTCTTTTTGTCGATTTGTAGTATAAGTATAAGTAGGGATCGTTCTGGACCGGGGATTAGGAGGGATTGCAAATCTCTTGGAAACTGACTCAAAAACGTAAAATAAAGTTTAAAACACTAAACTAGACTCAAAGAATGCAAAATTAAAGTTTAAAACACTAAGACAAACCAAAAACTCAAAATGCTTTAAAAACACAAACTAAATTGAATTCTAACTAAAATGAACATTAAAGCAAAAGGGGGATTGAGGTTTTTACGAAAATTGAAATAACGAAACAAGTTAATAAACTAGACAGAATGTAAATATGAAATTTATGGATGAATGCTAGCTAAGGGGTTCATCTCCATACATGTTACACTTGCATACAAGATTGATTCTCAGTTGGTCTTTCGATAAATTATGAAATTCAACGCCCCGGGTTAATTAGGTCCGCTTAAATTAACCGTCAAGTTCTCCTTAAGTTAATGAATTGGATGGGTTAGCGCAACGCAATTCACCACATTCTCCAAAAGTCCTTTACGTGAAAAGCACAATAAAGATACAATCAAAGATCATTAAGCATTATGAAAACTATAAGTGTTGACGAGGCATTCGTTACTATGGAATACGCATGAAACTTATGCCAAGAATTCGTTTAACGCGATTGTTTATAAGCAACCTCCACTACTTGTGAATATAAGTTCATAACGATTAGGTGAAATTCACTTATATTCTAGCGTCATATTTATGCATGAAAATTAAGCGCGCATTCTTAATAAACATTCATAAATAAGTTATCAATCAAACGGTTAAACAAATTGAATTCAAAACTTATGAAATTCCAACGAAAGGTAATCAATTCGTAATGCAAGTATAAACATAGTTTCGAATCACCCCCTAGCTAAGGGGGGTTTATTTCCTCATAACTTTGAAATTAAAGAAACACCTAAACATTCCAACAACTCAAACTTGAATTGTATGAACGTTTAGGCACTCTTCTCTTCCATTCCTCATACGTACAAAACAAAGAGAATTGAATTTAAACTTTGAAATCAAAGAAACACCTAAACATTCCAACAACTCAAACTTGAATTGTATGAACGTTTAGGCCCTCTTATCTTCCTCGTTGTTGTAGCACAAGGTCTAAGGTGAGGTTTGGGGGATTATGGAAATGGTAGAGGAGTGGTGTTGTGAAGTGTTGGAATGGTGTTTGGATTGTAAGGGAGATACACGGCAACAAGGGGTTTGTTGCTTGATGTTTGTGACTGAAATGTGTATGGAAGAGTGAATGAATTTTGAGGAGTGTTGGATGCTTATTTATAGGTGAAATGGGGGGAACAAAAGAGGGAATATTGCAGCTAGGAGGGGATGAATGATTATGGGTGCATGTGTTTGGAATAATGAAGGGGGAATGTATGTAATAAAACAACTAGGAAAAGTTATGGAAAGCTGGAAATGGGAGTGGGAACTCACGGCATTGTTGGGTTGTTTATGGGAGAATAAATGTATGATAATGGCTAAATGATTAAAGGGAATGAATGGGAGTGACACTAGGTTGGTTATGCATGTGGAATGTGGCTGAATTGTTGGTGAAATGATGAAATGGAATGCTGAAAAGGTAGGGAACTCACGGCAACAAGGGTGTTTGTTTGTGTGAAGTGTGTGTGAATGCATGTGAAGATGCTAATAAATAATGCATGTAGGGTTAGGAAATAAAATCATAACTTAAAGGGAGATGATTAAAGGGTGTTGAAAGGTTTGAAATGCATGTGTAATGGCTGAAATTGTGAAGAATGAAAGCTGGAAAATAAAAGGGAAAGCTGGAAAGGCATTGAAAGCCCACGGCAAAGGGGTTTTTGGTGGTGTAAATGCATGTGAATGCATGGCATTTGAAGTGATTGTTATTTGGAAATGAATGTGATGCATGTGAGTTAGAAATGTGGCTGAAATGATGAGAGACAAAGTGGAAGAATGTGGTTGAAATGGTTGAGGAAGGCACGGCAAGGGATTAGGGGGAGCATGTGCTTGTAGGGTTGATATGTTTGAAGATGCATGTGTTGAATTGGTGGTTGAATGATGAAAGAATAAGTGAATGATTATGATAAGTGATAAGTGAATGATTATGATAAGTGTATGATATGTTAAGTGATAAATGAATGATATGTGGTGAGTGATAAGTGAATGGAAGTGATAAGTGATAAGTGAATGGAAGTGATAAGTGAATGGTTTGATAAGTGAATGATATGATAAATGAATGCTTTAAGTGTTTAAAATAGGGAACAAAGCCCTTCCTTGCATGACAAGGAAGGGAGACACAAGGAAACACACGACAATGTCCTAAGGTTGCAAGGAATGTTGTTTTTGTGTTCTAAAATGCGTATGAGTATTCAATGATGCTTAAACATGAGGTCTTTTAGGATTTAACTTTCCTACTTCAAGTCTTTAATTTCGTCCATCCTCTTGGCTCCAAGCATATGATATCCATTCCAATCTCTAATTTGCTCCAAAAGGCTCCAAAAGGCATCCTTTTGCATACCTTGCCCTTAGAACCTGAAAACACACAAAAGAAGCATAAAGGACTAAAATAACTAGAGAAACATAACGTAAATGCACGAGAACAAGCCATTTAAGTCGCATGAATATGCTCCTATCATTGTGCCATTGTTAGTTATGATCATTTCTGGCACGCCAAATCTGGTCACAATATTTTCCTCTACAAAATTGCAAACTTCGTTGGTTGTGTAATTCGGCGTATGATTTTACCTCGACCCACTTAGTGAAATAATCGGATGCCACTAATATCCACACGTGTTTTGCTGCTCCAGAAGGTGGTGTGATTTTGCTGATTACGTTTATTGCCCATCATCTGAACGGCCATGGTTTGGTAACTGAGTGGAGTAATTTGGGCGGGACTCTCTGTATAGGTCCGTGAATCTGACACTGTATGCATTCTCGGGTGTATTCAATGCAATCCTTCAATATACTTGGCCAGAAGTAGCTATGTCGGCGAAGCAACCCACGCATTTTACTTCCGAATTGGTGAGCTCCACAAATCCCTTCATGTACTTTGACCATTGCTTGGGCAGCCTCCTGTGGGCTGAGGCACAATAACAGTAACCTATCCTCACCCTTTCGATATAATTCATTCTGGTATGACACGTAATTCGTGGCGTGGACTTTCGTCATTCGGTCATGTTTATCGCTGGGGTTATCGAGATATCATAAAATCGCCCTTCTCCAATCGTCTGGTAGCATCTCGACAACACATACTTCTTCGGGGTTTCCTCGCTTTATAACGATGGTAAAAACATCATTTTCGTGCGTATCACGTGATTGCACTAGAGAACTTGTTGATTGACCAAGGCTGGGTAAAATTGCAGTTTTGTGGGTGTTGCCCGGCCTAACTTGCCCCCCGTGAGTTGTGCTTCGGAGGCTATTTGGGCAAGTTCGTATGCGTTAAAGTTTTGAACATGCGAAATGTGCTCAAATGTAATTCTCTCAAATGACTCGGCCAAATAGGTGGCAACCATGTGATAGGGCGCAAAAGTACAACTCATGCAACGAAAAATACCGTTTCGTTGGTTAACCACAAGTTTGGAATCACCAAGGACGAGAACACGGGCTGCTTGTAAGTCGTGAAGGACGTGAAGGCCAATGACAAGAGCTTCATATTAGGCCTAATTATTTGTACAGCTGAAGTCCAACTTGAGAGAGAAATACCAACAGTAGTGGTCGGGAGATTGAATGATGATGCCAACACCAGCAGAGGTGGAGGTACTAGAACCATCAAAATGCATCATCCAGTAGTTGTCTCGTGTTTTGACTAAACCGATGTTGACTTCGCTGTCCTTAAAACCATAAGGAAAGGGGTGTTGGGCCAAAAAATCGGCCAGAGCTTGTCCTTTGATAGCTTTTTGAGGTACATATTGCAAACTAAACTCGGATAAGGCCATTGTCCATTTCCCAATTCGGCATTTGATGATCGGCTGAGTAAGCATGCAACGAATAACATCTGTCTGGGCAATGACCTGTGTAACTGATGGGAGCATGTAATGTCGAAGTTTTGATGCGGCAAAAAACAACGCCAAGCAGAGTTTCTTGACGGGTGAATAATTGATCTCCGGCGAATTCAGATTCTGGCTGAGATAAAAGATGGCTTGTTCACGCCGAGCATCATTATCTTGCATAAGGAGGCAACCGATGAACTCATCGACCGTCGAAATATACAATTTGAGAGGCCTATCACGTCGAGGCGGTACGAGTACTGGTGGTGTTGTAAGGGAGACCTTGATTTGCGTGAAAGCCACCTAATGTTCTTCTCACCATTCAAACTTGTCTGAGTCATTAATTTTCAAGAGCGTAGAAAACGCTTTCAGTTTCCCTGCCAAATTAGCTATAAATCGGCGAAGAAAATTTATCCTCCCGAGTAACAACTGGAGTTGTTTCTTGGTCGTTGGACGTGGGGCACTGATGATCACCTGACCTTTATTTTTGTCTACCTCAATGCCTCGATGGTGTACAAGAAAACCCAAGAAGTTACCGACTGATACACCG